TGTGCAGGATAATAAAGCAGTGCATCATGGCAAAAAACTGTGAAACACAACACTCTCACCACCATCCTTCAATGCACACGCAAAGACACACGCACATGTACACGCACATGTACACGCAAGCACACGCGGTATTCCTCTCTCCTTTGTACCTACTTTGCGCTCCTTGGTACACACTCGCTCCTTCTACCTCTGCACTCAAAACGAACTATTTTGCCTCACTGCATGTTGAAATATAGAACCAGTGGTGCAGCATATCTGTATTTTGCTATTCTCGTACTTTAAGTTTATTTCCCACTTAATATACGCGCGCAGTTTCTATTTGCTACAGCACATGAAATGCAATACACACAATCTTTGGGGATGACATGATTTCGATTGTCTTTATTCTTAGAATCCCATTAGAAATAGATCTAAACTAGCCATACATGGTCAAAATAAGTCACATATCCACAGCGTGATGCATCTTACTCCTCTATCTCGTTATCTACAAACTACTAAAAGCACATAAAGGAGCCGTACTGTCTCATTGGTTGACGTATTCCTTTAGTGACCTGCTAAACTAAGGCAGTGCAAACATGGAGCCGTGTCGGTGAGCATGCTCAGTGTCGTCCTCCAGAGATTGCCAATGCGGTGGCTGAGTTGCTTCAGAACAAACCACGCTGGACATGTTCATTGTAGCTAGAATAAGTCACCCGGTGCACCAGTATGGCCCGTAGGTTTGAACATTAGCATTAATAAGCTATATTAGTCTGTAGCTATACAGGCAATCATTTTAGCACAATAATTAATCGTTGTTTTTCCAAACGGAATTGATCAAAAATGAGAAATAAAATTGCAGCTTCACATCTTTCAATTACGGTCCCTTGTTCATTTTTTACGTATGTTTTAATTAACAAGAAATGTATCCTTTATTATGAGCTTTGATAAACCTTCACCAGATGCTGTCTCGCCTTGGAGACTTGCACCTGACCTGTGCTGAAGCACCACAAGGCCACACAGCTCAATCCCACGGCTCAAAGCCACACATCTTCAAGGGGACTCGGACAATGGGAGCGAATAATGTCTCAACCAGCACAAACACGGATGAGCTGCGAGTTAGCGAAGCTCACCAAACACCTTACGCTTGGCCTCACGCCGCTATCAGCGGGATCATCTTAAAGGGAAGAAGCGCTATCTGCGCAGCTAAACACACTTTTGTTTTCCCAAAGCTTTATGGCTGCCCTCGGCTAGACGGGGAATCAAAGCGCTCAGTGGAACGTGGGGAGACATCCACCGCACAGGACATGGTGAGGGTAGACAGACGTTCCCAGTAATTCATAATTACAGATCCAGTGTTAAAAAAAAAAGACATTTGGTAAACATCCCTCAGCGACAACCAGACGGAGCCCACGCTCCTCCAGTGCATGTCTTGCCACAATAGACCTGATTAGCCGAGAGACAATGCGTCGCGGTGAATGCCAGTCCTGCATTGTGTTGGCCTTGTGATGACAAACTCCTCAGCGTGTTATTGCTGTGAGCTGCAGCTCGGCAATCAAAGCGACACACACCCACCCACACACACACACACACACACACACACACACACACACACACACACAC